GAGGTGGGGGCGGGGAAGCAGAAAGCCGAACAATATAATATTTACACCTGTAAAGCAGCCTAGGAGGCCCTCTACTAACCCAACACTGGTTTTAACACCTGTCCCAATTTAATGTTATTAAGACCTCCACACCCTCTCCTTTCAGTCTTCGGCTGGTTTCTACTTTAATTTGTGACGAAACATTCCTATGTATCGATATAGAAGCTTGGATAATACCACTACCAAAGATAGTTAAAATACCTTAAGCCAAGTTAAGCTATACTATCTTTACTACCACAACTACGGGGCTCAAGGTGAAAGTAAAGTTCCTCTTTCCCGCAGTAGTAGATTTCACGAATAACTCAGTTCTTCTTCTCCGGGAGGAAAAATCAATAACAAGACCACCGATAGGACGGACACCTTTCAGATTCAGCCTTTTATCTCCGTTTCTGTAGGTTGTAAGCAGCACAGGCGCCTTCTCTTTGGTCTAGTGCTGACAACATGGCCGTGCTTTGCAAACATGCTTCAAGATTTATGACACCAGTTCGAATTCTGGATATTATTACTATTATTATGAATCTGCTATCACATTTTGGCCCCCGTCTTAATAACAACACGCCTCTCCTTTGTATAATTATTTAAGGCTTTATATAATATTATAAGACGCACGTTTTTATTAATTTTGGGGTGATCTAATAAGAGTGCAACATTTATCAGAAGGCTAGCGATAACGCAGCCCGGTCTTAGAGCAAGCCCTATTAAATATCGAATCAAAGAGATACCAATATGTAATATGTGTCCATTTTTTTCCAACACAAAGAGCTGGTGTCTTGTGTACTGAGACGGAAAAGTTTTTGAAAAGAAGAAAAAAAAAAACGTTCTTGCTTTTGCACTTGTTAATGTTGTTGTAGTTGTTGTTGCTATTCTTCGTGTTTTATTACCCGTCCCTGCATATTTAGCTGCTCCTGTGCTTGTCTTTCAGCATTTAAAAAAAATAAAAAATTAATGTGTTGGTGGTGGTGGTGGT